TTTTTATTCCCGTGTTATGCCTGTGCTTGTCTTTGTCTGTGTTGGGCACTTGAGTTGTCTAAATGATGATCATGAATCATAGAGCCTTCGGGCAGGAGGAGACCGCCAATCACACCAGGGGGCCTGTGCATCGGTGTTGATGTATACATGAATGTGTGTGTATAAGGATCTTGAGTGTGTGAGTGTGTGTGTGTGTGTGTGTGTGTGTGTGTGTGTGTATATAAGCCACTTTTTACTGATAAACCTGTAGAACATTTGTGTTTGGCTGTGTCTGTTCACTAAACATTATGATGCAAAATAGCAGCAATCCCACCCACTCATTCTGTAAATTTGCCACCATAAAACGAGTGCATATATTCGGCATCCATACACACCAAAGAAGACAAAAACAAAAACACACAACACATGGGATGAAGGTTAAAGGAAGAAAACTGTGAGAAATAGAGCTAAAAAATAGGGCTAACAGTGGCTGGAACAACCACGAATACCATAAAATAGAAAGAAGATCCAGAAAATGTATGACAGCAGAGAATGACCATCTCCATTTTTTGTTTTTTTGTCAATTTGTGGTCATGGAGGGACACATTTCTGTCTCTGCCAGCGTCTCTCTCTTTTCTCTTTTGTCCTTCATACAAGCTGTCAATTTGTTGTCTTGTGGATGGAGCAGAGCTGTTTGCTTCTCTCTCTCCTATTCTCTCGGTCTCCTTGAGAAAGTATGCTGTGAAAAGAGCTGATTATTGGATGGCACTCAAGCTGCTTTTCTGTCTCCTGATCTTTCCGTCTACCTCGCTCTCGCTCTCCCTCTTACATTCTTGCTTCATTTTTTTGGCCTCTCACTCACTGTGCCCCTCCTCTTCTATCATTTAATTTCATCTGAGTAGGACGACTGGTGAAGATACTTTCTCGTTTTCTTTCCTTCAGCATGCTGTTGAGTGCTTTCTCTGCTATTGTGTCTCACTAAAAAGATTCATTACTGTCCTTCCCTTTCTGCGGTAGAGTGCCGTTTCTATGAATGAAGGGGCTGACAGGCGGAGAGAAAGCGAGCGAGAGACTAAAAGGGATGCAGAGGGAACACAGGAGAAGACTTCAATGTCAATAAAAGCAAAATTTCTATAAACCTTGGTCTTGTTTCATGGAATAAAATGGCAAAACATCAAAGCCTTTTCATGAACATGTCACATTGCACTAATTAATCAGGGAAGGGAGGAATAATGAAGGTAAAATTGAGATTCAGACTTGAAAAATAGAAACAATGAGAGAATGGAAAGGAGATTAATTATTGAAATAAAAAATGTTACTAATGCATCGTCCATACCCCCTAATTTCTAATCAGGGCGAGTGAATGGGTTTGTGACAATGGTTCCTGTTGCATTCAGGAGTTGTCATGAAGAGTCATCAGTATTAAACGTATTGTGTTTCATTAGCTGAAAACTCCACAGGAATTTAAAATCTCTTAATCATACGTTCATCTTCAGATTAATAAATAAAGAAATTACTGTTAGTTCCAGCCTTAAATAAAGACTTACTTGGTAGTGAACATCATCAACCATCAAGGAATTCACAAGATAAATGGAAACCAAAACTTCCAATCAATACTTTATTGAGTAAATCAAAATTTGAAGTTGGGTTAGGTTTAAACTGCAGGACCTAGCAGTGAATTGTTGGGCTGAATATAGACAAAGAGCAGTTTGCCATTGGATCACTGAATCCATCCTCACTGCTCATCCATCCATCCATAATTCCTACACCTGTCCATATATTCACACACCCATGCATGTGTTCATCTGCTCATCCATCAGTTGAGTGTCCATACCTATCTGTCCACTCTCAGGTCAATCCATCCACACAAGCTTTTATATGCCACCACTCTATATATTCATCCATCTTTCCATCCGGCCATTTTGCTTTATTACAACACACATTGGTATGGATGCTGGCTGCCGTGCAATCATTTCTCCCTCTATCTGTGAAATGATACATCTCTCACTTTGTTCCCCTTTCCACAAATGGATAGTACAGACCTTTAGTGGGTTCCTCTGCCTATCCAATCACCCACTTATCAACCACTCTTTCTTTTTCTCACAACCCTCCTTTGCATCTAAGATGAAAGGACACAGCCTAGACTCCAACCGTCTATCAGCCACACAGTTATCACGGACCTCATCACACAGTCTTTCTCTCCTCCCACTCCGTTATTCTTCTGGTTTTCTCTCCCTCTCAGACAAAAGCCTGTAATTATAGACCCTGCCGCAAGAAATGGGGGTGAGCATCTATCTGCCTTTTCTTAATCACTCATTCATCTCACACACACACACACACACATTCAGCTCAGTGTGTGGTGGACTCACGCTGACACTCAGAAAAAAGATGGTCTCCAAAAATGTATAGACCTGCCACCAGCATGTGAGCAGAAGTGCATATCCTTATACTCCCTCTGTGAGTATTTGTGAGACTGTACTGAATGCATGTGTTCATGTATACGGTCATTCTCCTATTCACATACAACAATAAGAGTGACACACTGATGCCAAGGACATCACATATAACACTAATGGTATATTTACCACTGTAACTGTGGCTGCATGTGCAGCTGTGTTTCCAAACCATTAGGTCACTTATCTATTAGCACAGTTTTACAGTGCTGCTCTTCTGCAATCAAGAGGTGACAATGCCGATCATATGACGGGATCAGAGATCATCTACATATGGATAAACCTCACCCCATTTGGATAATCCATTCAACCTCTATCTCCATCCGCCTTGTTGTCTTAAACTTGTTGCAAATTTTTCAACCAGCCTACACTAACTTTACATCAAACAACCATCATCTATCAAAAGATGCTATTATACCAATACGGGTGCCAGAACCAGCCTCTAATAATGTGGTATTATTGAGTATGCCGATCAATGCAGATGCAATGACTCATTATCTCACAAAAATATAACTCTTTTCAGGTCAATTTTTAATTTTTATAAATTTCAATAACACACAACAACGGTGCTGGCAGAAAATGTCATGTTAGACAAAGCAAACAAGATATTGCAATCACTGTTTTTCTACCAATGTTAAGTACAGTATATTTTCTCTGTCCCACTAATGTCAAAGGGGTATCCAATATTAACCAATACCCAAGCCCATTGATCAAAATTGGTATCTGGAAAGTTTAAAGTTTAGAGTATTGGAACATCCTTAGTCAATTTTCTACATGCTGAAGATGTACTTACGCAGGTTGATGCAAAAATGCTAATGTGTATTTTGTTTTTCATCTCTTTCTTAACAAAGGGTGTTTCTGTGTACTCCCTCTCAGACAACCTACAGTTCTCTATGTTAGAAGCAGAATTTATGGAGGAGTTGAGGACATTTTTCTTGAAACTCCTGACATACATTTACAGTAAACTGATGACTGAAACTATTTGGAATCCTTGAAAACCTGGAAAAATGCATTTATATTATGAGGCCCTGTACAGAGTGTGTTAGAAACTAGGTGTTTCTAGACATACAAAGTAGTTTGTTTTCTCTGACACGTTATGACTGTCTGTTTGATCTGTATTAGAGATGTTAAGTGTTATAACATGATTATAAGATTAAATAAAGGCTCTGGTATGATGTGTAAGATTTTCAGAGTGCTGAAAGAAGATGGGTGTTTGGGAAAGTAATCAGGGAAAATGTAACCCTATCCGGGTTGCTGGATGGGCTGTACACTTTATAAGGCAACAAGTTTTACAAGGTCCAGTCGCTACATCTGAACTTTTCATGCTAAGTAAAGTAATGTATCGCTTGGCCTGCTCTGAAACATTTCTCTTTCATTCTTTTTTATCTAATTCCCTGCCATCCATTTCTCTCTCTCTCTCTCTGCTTGCTTTCCCCTCCATCAGTGTCGCCCTCTCTCTCATGTCTCTGTCTGTTCCTTGGGTCCCCTCCCAGGAGTCTGGCAGTAAAGGCTGATGGAGTGTGAAATTAGAAAGTGTATCATATTCTGCTCTGTGGCTCCATGTCCTGAGCTATAAGCTACAGCTAGTCAGAGTGAAAAATAACATGCAGTGAAACAGATACATTAACATGCTGTTTGTGTGTGCCTCTGTGCATGTATCACGCATATATGTGAGTGCGTGTGTGTATGTGATTATGTGTGTGTGTGCGTGTCTGTGTGGTTTAAAAAGCAAGACAGAGGACAGTTTAGCCAGCCACAGCTTATCTTAAATTACTTATCTCACGCCTGCTACACTGGTTCTTTCCCACAAACTGCAGAAGCGAGCGGGGATTAAATGTGTGGACCAACACACAGACGCAAGCACGCACGCACGCAGGCACGCACACACACAGAACAGGGAAGTAAGCAAGTGCTGCTGCAGTTAAAGAGTATTTGATCATGTTTAAAGGACTTTTATAGAGATCTGGAGAGTTTTTCTCCAGAATTAACACAAGTCAAAGCAAAACATTTCAACACTGACATGGATATTGTTAATGCACCGTTATCTAAACTTTGTAAAACAAGTTAGCAAACTTTGAAAAGTGAGTGCCAGTGTCTAATTGAGCCCCCTCGTTACTTCTGATTTTTTTAATCTGAGAAGTTTAAAATGCATCTCCAGCCAAAAACATATTCCCGTGCACATGCTGACTCTTAGTACTGTGTTAAGTATTTCTGATAGAATATTTTAATACAAATAAAAATGTAAAAAAGAAAGAAAGAAATAGTCCCTCAACATACAAACTTTTATTCTTATCAATACCTTTTAAATGTTTAAAGAAGGATAAATAGTCATCACTTCTGAATTGGGTTGGGAACCTGCGGGTCGCTGGTTCAAGTCCGGGTACTGACCACAGTATGGTGTGGTTGAACTGGCTCAGGAACTCTTCTGTCTGACATCTGTCCATTAGTTCATGAACATAGGATCATGTTTGTGCTTCTTTGTGTGTGTAGCAAGTTCAAAAAACATTTTGTGATTGGAGAGCATTAACTTCTGTCTGCACGCAGGTGGGCATGTGTTTGTGTGTTTACCTGCATCAGGCCGGACACCTCCCCTTTCTGAAGTGGTGCAGCGATGGAGGGAGTGAACAGCTTACTGTCCTCTACTAGTCGTCCTTTCAGGAAGTGTTTTCCTGCCTCATAGATGTCCACTTCAATCATCTTTCCTTTGAACTCAGCCATCTTGGGAACCAGCACCTGTAAATCAGAAGACGTAAACTCCCTTAAAACAAACGCTTAATTCTATTTGGAAATTCACTTATTGTAGCAATGACTATGGAATTCACCTTTACTTAAAAAAACCCTGTTCAATAAATCATGGCAAACCACTGAGGGACAGGAAAGAAACGATTGTGTTGTTAAGTGACTGACAGTTAGAGACCAGAGACAAAAACTCAGGCACTGCTGTGTTTCACCTTAGAATGCAGAGCTGTATATTGATTCAGCCCACCAAACAACCAACCCCTCTGCATGCCTCTCCACATCTGTCAATTACATTCTCAATTAACCGCTGATCAAAAGTGTTTTCCCCAATGCCCCCCTACATTATTATTTAGCGAGTCCCTGCCTGCGAACAAAAAAACACAGGGCTGAGTGTTTTCAATTCCATTTATGAAAGCCCTCAAGGTCAAAAACTACGGCAACAGCTGTGAGATAAACCAAAGGGATTTTCTGGTTTGTCTTATTATTTCACCATGGCAACTATAAATCTCGGCTGATCACAGCAGGGGGGGAAGAGAAAACAAAGAGTTATAATTACGGCTTAGTGTGAAATGGAATTTGTTCTTAATGACTTAGCCCTGTAAATAAAGATCGTATGCAAATGCTTTTCCTTTCAAACCATTTTCAAACTAACCAGAAAGTTTAAAGATGACGTGTTCTGCTCTTTTAAAAGTTCAGATTTACTGCTTTTCTTCAATACTTCTTCTGGTGCACACTAATAGAAAAATGGGTGTTTTGATTGTTGTTGGCTTTAAAACTTCAGTCATAACAGCTTGTGTGATTGATTATACAAGTAAGCATTAAGGAAGGGGGTTTTTTCTGTACAAATCATGTTGATCGTGTTGATCTTTTTCCATTTCTGAAGAAAAAAGAGTCCCTCTGTATGAGTAACCATCTTAGGATCTGTAAAGAAATCTTAACATTTAGAATTTTAAATGTTACCCTGAGTATTTATATAAACATATTACTGCTGAATATTTGTGGAAAATGTCAAAACAATACATTCACTTTCCTTTTGATTTGGTTTTCAAATCATCAAACAGCTTTAAAGACAATGGTTCTCTTAAACCACTAGTGATGATGATGTCATCATTTTTCAAACTATGTTTTTTCTCTGCCTCTTGCATGTTTCAGACCAAAGGAAAGGATCAGCAGCAGAACCCTAACCTTGGACCTGCTGGGGATTCAGTGTCTTGCCTAAATACACTTCAGCAGGGTGGATACGTGCTGACTCAGATCATGTGGTGGTCTGTCTAACCATTACAGGGCTCTGCAGGGCTAAGCCACTGACTGGGCAGAGGAAAGCACGTGAACTGGTGGAGGGAGTGTTACTGCTGTGATGGCAGGAGTGAGCCTGGCTCTATGTTAATCTGTCATTCCTTATCCAGCTGGTCAAATACGATTGGAGACGGAGAACAGGCCAGACAAACACACACACACACACATGCACACACACACACAGACACACACACACACACACACACAGCGAGCGCCACACCTGCCTAATCATCACACCTGCTGCTTGACACTTCGACCACTGTGAAGGTGTATGTGTGTGTGTATGTGCATGAGAGGAGATTGAGTCCATGCCAGGAGCAGAGAGGTAAAACAGCACGGGTGTGGGGGAGGTAGGTGAGTGTGTGTGTGTGTGTGTGTGTGTGTGTGTGTGTGTGTGTGCAGGTGAGGGTCATTCGAGGCCCATTACAGGGTGATTAAATGATGAAAGAGCTCGTCCGATTTCATTGGAAAACCCCCCTCCTACTTCCTCACTCATCTACTAACAGATGCACACACACACACACTCACAGGTGGGCTGGGTGCCTATTATACCCGTCAGGATAGATATCAATCTGATGGTGTAAAACGGAAACTAGGCCATTTGTTCACACTCTTCTCTATCTTACCCTTCACTTTCCTCCACCCACACAACCATACACCCTCCCGGCTCTCCATCTTTTTTCTCTCCCTTTCTTTGCACCAACTACTCATCTTGACCCCACATTTTTCTCTCCCTTAATCATCATTTCTACTAAAACTGCACATCTTAATGACTTGCTTTTTAATTTCTTAGTATTTTCTCTGCATTCTTTAGTTTAAGAATGTCATTATCCAAGGTGATTATTAAGCGGGGTGAGCTGTGGCTCAGTTGTTAAAGTTGTCACCTCTCAACCAGAAGGTTGAGGGTTCGATCCCCAGCTGAGCAACATGTCGAATGTGTCCTTGGGCAAGACACTTAACCCTTAAGGAAGAATGACATTAATGCACAAGAGATATGTTTGGGCCTGTTTTGGAAAAGTAAATGTACTGCAGACATGTGGTACACAGGATTCAACAATGTATTCCCCCCAGAGGGACACATTCAGGAACATATTGGTGTGTTTTATGTTTTTTTCAAGTCAGAGATTGATTTAGGAGTTCAGGCTAAATACTTAATATCCTCTACCTCCAAAAATGGGACCAGGAGAACATCAAACATGTCAGAGGCCTCTCGAGTACAGTGAACTGATACTCATGACATATATGCCTGCATATGAACAAATGCACACATGCATGGAGGAGTATGCTCAACATGCGCATGAACCGAGTGACACTGGTAAATTCAGTTTATAGCCTGCAGAAGGAGGTGCAAAGGGGGAGGAGAGGAGGGGAGGAGAGGAGAGGAAAGTGGAAGGGAAGAGAAATTATTACCAGCCCCTGCCCTCCCTGCTAATAAAAAGCATAACTTCAAACATGTTTCTGATGATGGTTAAAGCAGGGGGAAATTGATTTATTTGAAGATGTTTTAAAGTGAATTTTTCACAGGTTGAGAGAGGGTCTTTGAAGCCATGGGGATGTGTGTGTGTGTGTGTGTGTGTGTGTGTGTGTGTGTGTGTGTGTGTGTGTGTGTGTGTGTTTAAGATGGAATGTTCATGTCTTTAGGGTTGACCTTAATGTTAGTGAAGTTAAAAAAGGAAAAAAGTAGTGCCGCTATCAGCTGCAAAACGCTCTCATAACCACTGCAGGCAGTGTGTGTGTGTGTGTGTGTGTGTGTGTGTGTATTTATGGGTATGTGTGATATTATAGCTAACCTACTTTAGTCAATACAAGCTTAAGCTTGTGACACCTGCTGAGAGTACTCCTGTGACATGAAAAACGCAGCTTCTGATCTGATTTACTAAGTGTGAAAATGAGGAAGGGTTGGATTAGCTTCACTTACGAAAATGTGTCATCAAATGCAGATTAATTTGCAGCTTTTCTGCTCGATGTTGTTTGATGGTGGAATGAGTGGGAGGTCAACAAAATTATTTCTGGATTCATACAGTGCATAGTGTCAACAAACCTCCACTGAGGTCAATAACAGCTAATGGAACTTAACTTCATTATAAGGGTTGGTGAACAAATGTAGATTAACAAGAAACTATGCTGATATTTCTTAAATTCAATTATATATTTACACTTGGTGAGACTTAGGGCTTTTCTAGTCTTCTCACAACTCAAAGCACTTTTACACCACAGGTCACACCTACCCACTCATACACTGATAGCAGGGGTTACTATGTAAAGTGTCAGAAGTAACTCATCCCAGTCAGAAACATTTATAAGTTGCTGAAGAAGCAGCAGGAGCAGCTTGGGGTTAAGTGACTTGCCCAAGGAAACATCGGACAGATGTACATCGGACAGGCTGCAGATGCTGGGGATTGAACTCCTGACCTTACTATTGAGAGGCGTCTGTCTCTCCCACTGATCCACAGCCGCCCCTCATATACAACACAAGGATCTAGAGAATGCCTGATCACATGAATGCCTGAATGAATACAACTTTAGTTTACTTGAAGGGCCTGTGTCCACAGACTGTGTACCCGCAAAAAGCCGAGTCAGACAAGCGTCAACTCCGCAATTGTTGTTGATAAAGCTGATATCAGAAGTCCCGCCCATTCTTGATTTTGATTGGTTGGTGAGGGAGAGTTACATTTTACGAGCGTTGCGCTGTTCTAAAAGTTTAACTATCTCTGACAGAGGGCTGTGATGGCAGCATCAAAAACAACTGACGCAGAGGGCATTTTAGTGCTATGGGCTCTGAAATACATTGGTTTTATATTGAAAATGGGCGCTGCCAGCACACAAAAAAAAACCTCTCTGTTGACACAGGCCTTCAAGTTCTTTAGTCAAAGGTCAGATTTGAATGAACTAATAACCTAACCTGGACCTAAGGTCAAAATGAAGATTTGAGAAACAGGTAGACTCTAAGGAGGATGTTTTTAGTCTTTATAAACTGACATTCATCTTACCTGCTCGTAGAACTTGTTATGCGCCACATAGTATTGAGTGTCGAATGACTCCTCTGTCACCAGCACATGTTGCCTCTCTCCCACCTGCACAAGAGAGAGAGAGAGAGAGAGAGAGATGATGGAATTTTCTTAGACAACATCTTTTTATTTTAAGTATGACATTAAACACAGGAACAGACTTTATATAGATCAATTGATTTTACATAATAAAGTCCATCTTCAACACAGATATTGAAAGTCAAAAATCTGTTGGCTCAGGGTTATTTGCTCAAACTCCTCCTACAGAATAACAGCCTTTTTGGGCTTGATTTCATTAAACATGAAACAGAAATTGCATCCACCAAAGTGCTTTGATATTTGTATAAGTACACACATCTTTCATTCCTATCATACCTATGAACAGTCTATTTTCAAGTACTTCTGCTGTTCATATATGAGCTTCGGGCTAAGGGTCTGATGTTTTTGTCACACAGGTCATGTATAAGTGCAGTGTTTTATTTCAACAACACGCGAGCTGCTTCAGTCACACAATATGTTTCTACTCATCAAGATTCCAATTCAAACAGTTTTGCATTTCAATGTTTTTTTTTCTCCATGTTTTCTGTGAGTGCATTTCTCCATTTAATTACAATCTCAAGGTTCCAGAGACACTGCATTGCTAGCGCTTTGGCTGAGAGGATAGTGAGCATTATTAAACTCAGGTCCTTAGAAAAGAAGAAAACTGAATAAAAGGGGAGAGAGAAATCACAAGGCTGTACAGGATACAATTCAAATGCTCGTGAAAAAAACGGTCTATTCAGGACATCAGAATCCAATACTACAACATGGCCTCCAAGTAAAGAACATGAGTATGGGATGAAATTACAAAGTTACAAAGTATGGGATGATATTACAAAGTTATTCTTTGGTTGAAGGAAAATTGAAAGAATACAAAACAATTACAGATGTCCTGCAAGCATGAATAAAACCCACTTCATGTCTAAGAGAAAGTTAGACTTCTTTTCTTCTTCCCCAGAGATACCGTTTAAATGATTTCTGATTAATATTTTACTTTATGGACACATCCACACTCACATTATTTCTCCTTCCATTGAAGTACAGTTTGTCTTTTTTAGCCAGTATAGTTATCTGAAACAGTGCCCTAGATAAAATACATCCCATTCATTTTTACTCCTCACTTATTAAACATGTCAATGTCCTTCTCATGCGAGGAACTACAACTAGTTTAAATCCCAGCATGCAATTCAGGAAACAATAAAACACAGTACAAACTACCTGAGTTTGAAAAAGAGCAACACATAGATTATTTGTTGGGAAAAGTTTTCTGTGGGCTCTATGGGCGGCATTTGCATTTGAACTGTGAGCCCTGCATTGTAAAACTGTGCTGACTGATCATTTCCTTCGCAGTGTGTCAAAGCCTCAGAAGCTCCGGCTCTAACGCATTGCTCAGGGTGCTTCCATTTTTGCAGAAACCCATCTACTCTGCTCTTTTTCTTCCCTCCTTCCCGTACCCCCTCCTTTCTTATCCTCCTGCTTCCATCCCTCTCTACTATCTCTGGGCACTTTCTTTGTTGTTCATACCTGTCTTCCTTCGCATTAATTTTACTGTGTGTGTATGTGTGTGTGTGGGTACATGTGTGTTACAACACAGAAAGCACCTGCACAGGCTTGCTGACAGACTTAAAGAGAGACCAAATAAATCACTGCTTCCTGCAAACAGGGCAATTTTCTGAGAAAAAGAGGTGAAAAAAATGTTCTTTGAACATTATCACTTGATGTTGAACATGTGATCGGAGTCTTTTGTTTGCTCCAATGGACTGAAGACAGATGTCTAGCCTTAAAACCTCCCATGTAAAAATGACTATTCCCGTGGTGTTGCAAATGCCTCCTATATACTGTACATACAGAATTATCTATATAACATGTTGGGATTTGGGACATTTGGGAGTTGTTCATATTTCCCCATGTTGATAGACACATCACTTTGGAAAAACTTATTCACCACCTAAGTTTCCCATCAATATGACTAATATGCAGAGCATCATTGATGGAGATTGTTTTGCCTTTATTTCTCACTATTATCCTGTGGACCACGGCAGGACAGATGCTAACAGAAGGTTTCTGAGTAATGTGAACCTGCTTCCCCCAATACATAAACCACATCTGATTAAAACCAGAAGCATTGATCTGGGATTAAGGTATATCCTAACGTTTTGATTGAATTGGACTAATAGGATGATCATGCATAAATATAGCCCAGCAGGAAATATGACAGATGTGAACATGTTGTTAAATCACTAAATAAAAATAAAACAAGTCACACCACACCATGAGTTATGTGTATATGCATGCATGAAATGTGTTGATCTTTGCTTGTACTGCTGCTGCTTTTTATTTGCATATGAGTGTGTGATAGTTTGTATTTAGATTTGAATTCACTCAATCAGTAACAGACGTCACAGGATACCAAACAAGGCGTGTATGTGCATGTCTTTGCACACTGAGATGTGTATTTACTTCAGCATCCAGAGAATAACATCCCATGATATGCAGCAGATCCACTGCAGATTTGTGGGATCATGAGTTTAATTGATAATTAATCCACATCATAACAAGGATAATGAGAGAACTGTGGCTTTGAATTCTAATCAACTTTTTCATACGCATCACAAATAAAGGAGCAATTCACTTGAACAACATCCAAAATCTCTCACAGCATCTGTGGTTTACCATGCAACTGGATTAACTTTCTCACAGGGAAGTGACACATAACACTTTGAGGGGATAATTATGAAAGGCTAACAGTCAGTGCCAAAGTGAAAAAACTAAAATAAAGGCTAAAAACGGGCTGATTCCACCTGTTCTTTGGCAAATGTAGCAATACTGAACTAGGAAAACAATAAAGATAATTAACATCCCTGTTATATTTAAATCCAGGAACAGCATGTTCATACAAAATTATACCGTGCAGACAAACTATCCATTATTCAAAAGCATTTCTACAAGTCCCCTTACTTTAATTCTCAACTAAATGATCATGTAAATATGGGATATAACACACACTGATATAGAAATAAATATAGCTTCTTACTTTAATACATCTAAGTCAATGATGTAGCAGATCAAGTCCACACGTAGGCGGCTATTTTTGAAAACAGAGGTCTTTCTGCGCGTTTTGGCCTTACGGCCCCACACAAACGGTGAACTGAAAACGCACCTTTTATAAAACTGCTTCCAGGGTGAAGATTTTGCAGTAACTCAGTTTAAGTTGTTTGTGTGTAGACAAAGAAAACCGAGTTTGGGGGCTTGTAATGTCACACTGTGCACTGGTTTGTCCTCCGTTTGATGTCATTGTGTGACGCTGTCACTTTTGTTTACATGAGATTACTGTGTAGCAGACCTAACCAAACTAGTGCTGGTGTTCATGTTGCTAAATGGAAAAAATGCTTACGTATATATACACAGTTACTCTCACACTATGTTGACGAGCAGAGGCGCCTGAATGGACAACTTTGTTAATGAAATGGTCATTGCAGGGGAATGGCGAAAACATATTGAGCATGTCGAGGAATTGGTTTTTGACTTGGCATGCTTATGACAGCCATAACAGTGCGCTTTGCCTTTTTGTGTGGACGAAGATGTTTTTGAGAACTTGAGGAGGAAAGCCTCCTACATGTGGACGAGGACTAATAATGCTGCAACTTCAAAACCCCCTGTTTGGCATTTTTAGAATTTACAAAAAAAAGAATAGATTTAGACTCACAGATCCCAGATGGCTGTGGGTTTCATGCTCCAAAAAAAAGAAACTGTCCTCATAGACTCAGAACAAAGTTTAAAACTTGAATAACTCATGGCAGTCTGCCATCTTCTCTATTGCGATTATTTTGTGAATCCACATCAAAGTACTTTTTGGGAAGGCTTTATTGAATTCTAATATTTGTTGCTATTTGTTTATGAGAAAACTCTCCACTCCAACTGTTTATCAGCCTTTCATCATTAATATAACTTAGAGCAGTGTCTGACCAATACACAGCAGTCAGTGAACCGGGCCTCCCACTGTGAAAAAAGAGGCTTGCAGGGTTATGCATCATCAAAGCTGAACTCCATTTATGCAACACTACCCCTCCTCCTTTATTTTTCACATACATCTTTTGACCTCTTAATTCACCCCCTATCACTATTATCCTGTGGGCCTGTATGATGATGATATGACCTCTTGGTAACAAACAATGCCACACAAGCAGAAACACAAACACACACGCTACAAAATTAACTTCTACACGCATGGCTTTTTGCAGAAGTAGATTTTGTTTGTTGCCTGCTAAACAATCATAGCCGGAGTGATTTAACAGAACTAAAGAGATGTGCTCTGATCTTTTGGAGGTTCTCTTTGAAGAAGCTACTTGAAAGACACAGAAAAAAAATAGCCCTGTTGGTTTTGGAATTTTGTTTAAATCCTCAAAGTCAAAAACAAAGGAAGAGTGACTCAAACTTTTTTTTTTTTGAGTATTTCCCACAAAGAATGAGGGGATTAACAGTGGCTTTGGTTAAAGGTTTGTGGGGACAAATGTAAAATCAACAGAGAACAAAGTGGTACAAATGAAGTGTTTGGAACAAGGCCTGGACAAAATCCCTTTACAGAATCATACAGTAACAACATGAGACAGAAGACAGAGTGAAAGAGACATGAAGGATTACAAGATGAATACATGACTCTTTATCCGTCTCTTCATGCTTTACACTCACCTGACTATTACTACACGTTCAAATATTTGTATATCAGGATTATTTTCTTATCCTTAAAAGGAAATAGCTATTTTGGCAGCAAGACGACTTAAGTCTTTATCTGCAGGATCAGACTGAACTAAAGACTGAACAGCAGGTAAACAGAAGTCACTGACTTTACGAGCTGGTAGGCAGTGATGCTTTTTAAAATAAAGGTGAACTCTAGAAAGTTAGATAAAAAAAATACTCATTAAAAACATACAGTATCATGACATGATGACAGCAGAGCAAATTACAAAAAAGAGGAACAAATAGTTATTGGCTTTCAGCTATAAAAAAAACCAAGACATTTTCAGTAA